ATATAGCATATATCACAAAGACAAGATGCATAATATCACAAACTCAATATAAGCACATAAGACCCTCCGGTCGATAACTCAAATAAGACCCTCCGGTCACACAGTATTACCATTCAGGTAAGTATAGTGAGAAGACTCACCTCGTAAGTAAGCAAGTAGATCTAGTACCCCACGAACAGTCTAGACTCCGCCTACATAATATAATTATCTCTAATCAACAATTTGTAATAACCACCAAGCTAACTCTTCTACTAGGTCTCAAAAGGGTGAAAATACCATTTTACCCCTCCATGGTCTCCAAAGTCCACAATTGACCAAACCCTAAAATTCAACAGAAGTCAACACTCAAGTCAACAGTACCTGTTGACCCAACTCGGCGAATGCACCTATGTGACTCGTCGAGTTCCTCCTATCGTCAGAAGAATCGGGAAAACTCCAACTCAACTCGTCGAGTTGTCTCATCAACTCGCTGAGTTGTAGTGCGTTCAGCCTATCGGGGAAACCCTTGCTGACTCGTCTAGTTGGCTCATACACTCGCCGAGTCCCTCTAGACCAATTCTCATTCAGACGACTCTAAGCAGAAATAATGTCCCAAACTCTAGATCTAGCCTCCCAAGGCCGAAATACCACGTAAATCTGCAAGCTTTACGTCCATGCATGGCATCTAGGGCTCGAAATGCCAAAACAAGCTCTATATAGGGTTTAATGCATAAAAGCTTGCCACTATCTTGATAAAACTTGGACCTTTGGGCTCAAGGGACCTCCTATTGTCCAGATCTAAAGTCTTAACTCCATGGCAAGCTCAAATAACTCCATACCACGTAAAACGCACTACAACTCGCTGAGTTGTAGTGCGTTCAGCCTATCGGGGAAACCCTTGCTGACTCGTCTAGTTGGCTCATACACTCGCCGAGTCCCTTTAGACCAATTCTCATTTAGACGACTCTAAGCAGAAATAATGTCCCAAACTCTAGATCTAGCCTCCCAAGGCCGAAATACCACGTAAATCTGCAAGCTTTACGTCCATGCATGGCATCTAGGGCTCGAAATGCCAAAACAAGCTCTATATAGGGTTTAATGCATAAAAGCTTGCCACTATCTTGATAAAGCTTGGACCTTTGGGCTCAAGGGACCTCCTATTGTCCAGATCTAAAGTCTTAACTCCATGGCAAGCTCAAATAACTCCAGAACTCAAAGAAGGATGGGAAAAGGCCCTAAACTCCCTAGAAAAAGGGATCTAACCAAACAATGAGCAAGGTGGTGACTTTTTACCTTCAAACAGAAGCTAGGGATGAATAAACACCGAATCCAAGAGCTCCCTCTAGTCCCAAGCCTTTTGTTCCTCAATCTTCCTCCAAAAATGCACCAAAGTATGAAGTGTTGGCCTCTCTTTCTCTCACACAAGGATCTAGCTCGATTAGGGTTTCTCTAAGAGTGCTAAGATGATAAGGGAGGCGGAAATGAAGGCTTAAGGTCCTTTAAATGGGACAAAAACCCTGAAAATTAGGGTTTTCACACTAAGCACCTACTCGTCGATTTGGGGTCCTCCAACTCGTCGAGTAGACTCTAAAAATCACGCGGCCATTAACTCCTCTACTCGGCGAGTTGGGGCATCCAACTCGTCGAGTTACTCTGACATCATGAATGCAAATTAATTAAATATTATACCTGGGAGTCGGGATGTTACACTTGGCCGTCAGCATAAAGCAGGACCGCCTCAACCCAACCGAAAATAACACATCCAAATATATCATAACAATCAATATCCAACAAATACAGGTAGTCCTACAGATCTCCCAGTGTAACACATATCCATTAATACAGGCAATTATACATATCTACCATATACTCAACATAACATCTAGAATATACCAGGATATTAAATCTAGTATGTCGACTTTGGTGACTTCGACCCACAAGTATAGTGAGGAAAAATCACCTCTCAGTCCGAAAAGATCGTTGAACAGGACATTGCTCCGAATATCAACTCTACCGGTCACCTATTCATCAAATAGTGACCAATCTCAAATACAACTCAAAATACCCTTAGGTCAAACTTGCTCAAGCCCTGGTCAAAGTCAAAATCAATCCACACTCGAAAATTCCACAGCCACTAGTCACATCGTGACCTAATAAGTCAAAACAGTCGAGGATTACCATCCTCACGTCGTGACATCCAAGAGCTCATGTCGTGAGGACGCTGTGGACAGAAGTGCTGAATGAAGCTCTTAATCCTTTTTTTTGGCCAAGCAATCAAATCCTCCATAGTGTCTTATTTACTCTAGAGCATCATAAAAATGACAACTTTTTTGACATGCATGTCCAATGCATGTCCGAAACACAAACTAGGGCACACAAGGAGAAAATGACACCAAATCTCATGCAAGAGTCAAAAAATCAACCATATTCCAGATCTAGCATCTATACTACTCAAGGGACACTGGAGATCCATAAAGTTGGCAACTTTATGGATTCCAACCACTATATCATCTTGAATATGAAGGATTAAGCATTAAAATCTAGATCTAATCTTATGGACTCATAAAGCAATGAACTTGAAACTCACAAAAGGTCCATAAGGTGTGAGAATACTTGATGGAGAGACTTAAATGCATAAATGATGGACTAGATGATCTTCCTCTTCTTCTCCTTGGCTAGAATCACCACAAATAAGCTCAAGATCAAATATCGATGCGAGGGTTTCAAAGGGGAGTGCAAGCAGGTGATGGAGGTCGAGGGTGGGCTAACCCTAGCCCTTACTTCCTTTAAATACATAATAAAAACCCTAAAATTAGGGTTTCCTCTCAGGCTGATTTCACGTCGTGAGCCATATGTGCTCACGTCATGAGTGGGGTTAAACCTTTGAATTTTTAAACATGAAAATTGCTCACCTGAACCAATTTTTTTTCCTAAAATCGTAGACCATTTAGGCCAAACTGTAGACCATTTTAAGGTCTACGGTTTTCATTTTGAATTATGAAAAAAAAACCCTTAAATATTAAACCCAAAATCGTAGACCATTTAGGCGAAAGAGTAGACCATTCTAATCACCTACAATTTTGATTACTATCTTAGGACAAATGCTAATTTTTGGGTAAAAATGGACAAGTCATTAGAAAAATGGCTAGTTTAGTAATTGTCTCTTTATTTTAATGGGATCTCAAGGTTTACTGATGACTGCTATTATTGATGTTAATGTTTTTGTGACATTTAACAGAAATGTTAATATCATAAAAGACGTTATATATTATACTAAATTGCAAAAATGGTCCCCATGGTTGGCAAAATTAAGTGGTTTTGGTCCAAAAAGTTTTGGTGATGCTTTTGGTCCAGACCCCACCTAAAGTGACGAATATGCCCTTTGATAATTCTTTTTATTTGTTTTTAATTTTTTATTATTGTTTTCATTAAAAAAAATAAAAAGAAAATAACACCACCTCCACCCCACCCACCCACCCACCCACCCCGCCCTCTATCTTCCCTCTCTTTCTCTCTTTCTCTCTCTCTCTCTCTATCTATCTATCTCTCCCTCTCTCTTTCTCTCACTTCAACCACCACCACCTCGGTTACCAATACCATCGTCGGACCACCCGTCCTCCTCCTAGAACACCACCATTATCATCATGGACCTGAAAAACAAGACTAACCCCCTCTGAAAATTCTCCTTACTAGTATGTGACAGAGATGAACATATCTCGAAAAGATTTGGGCGACGTCGATTCTCGTAGATCTCAACCATCGAGACAACGACATCAATTTTGTAACTGGTCAAAACGTCGGATAAGAAATAAAGAGAGAAGACGATGGAAATGGCGACGTCGGTGAAAAGGGCAAAAGGTTTCAGAAACCACCACCACCGACACCATCCTTCTTTCTTCGTCTCCAGAAAACACCATCAAAGCCAACCTTGTTCCTTCACTGGTGGTTCCGATCTATATTTTTAGGGTTAGGGTTTTCTTTTCTGAGGATTAGGGTTTCCTGGCGGCAACGGATGGTGGTGGAAAACGGTGATGGTATACGACAATAATGGTGGTGACCGGATCCATTCTGCAAACTCTAGCCCTGACGACAACTTACATAGAGGAGTGGTGGTCAGATCTGTATGTTACGATTTTGCCGAAGAAATCTGATTATGGTGAGCGTGGGGGAAGGAGGTGGTTTGCAACGGATGGTGGCGGCGAACGATGATGATATGTGGAGATATGGTAGGGGTGTTCTTGAGAGTGTGTAGGTGTTCTTGAGAGGGTATGCATTTTTCTTGATAGTGTGTGTGAGAGAGAGAGAGAGAGAGTTTTGAAAAGAGATAGAAAGAAGAGAAGTTGACTAGTGGTAAACGTAGAGAGAGAGAGAGAGAGTCCTTATTCTATTTTTAATTAACTAAAAATTTTAATTTAAATAAAAAAATAAAAAAACAAATATAAAAGGTATAATAGACTTTTCAAGCTGATGGAGACCAAAAACACACGAAGTATTTAATTTTTAATTTTTGACCACTGGTGCACCATCAAACATATTTGGAGTAAAACTATATAATTTTGACAAACACATAAATCATTTTTGCAATTTTATCTATGTATTATATTATTTTTGGATTAAACATAAAGTTTATTTTATTCCTTAATCTTGTATTGTATTTTATTTTTATTTTGGATTTGATTTTTTGAACTGTTTTTTCTGAAAAAGCTTATCAAATATTATGAGAGATTTTTTAGGAGAAAAAAAGTTAGGGTTTTTTTAGAAAAGAATATTTTCGTTTGTTGAGTCACCTTCATTTGGATATTTTTGTGATTATCATCTAAACACGTAAACTAAAATTAGTAGATAGTAAAAATGTAATGGTAAGCCACACTAAACTTGACAAGACCATCAATCACTTCAAATCTAATTGACATTTTGCCAACATCAACTAGTCCAATTCACCACCAAACATACCCCACCTAAGTTTCAAAGTAGTGGAGGCAAATTCAAAGATGCACAAATCCATATCACAACCCCTAACATCAAGATGCCGACACTTCTTCCTCACCTTCAATTTCATCGCCATTTGCAAATGCAAACCACTTCTTTGACTTACAATAGTTCATAAAAAAATACCAGAAAATAGCACCTACAGTCATTAACCCACTAACCAAATACACAATCTTGGTAGCAATAACCATGATCACGATCAAGAATGCAGACGGAACAAGGCACATCACCACCAGTCCCGGCACCCCTAGCGGCACCTTGTACGGCCGTTTCAGCGCCGGAAACTTTCTTCTTAACCATATAAACGATGCAAACTCCAACAACATCCCTAGACTATAGATGAAGTTTGCAGAAGCTACTATATCAGTGAAATCCATTGGAGAAACGGCGATTGTGATCGCAGTTGATAACAAGATTCCAACCCATGGAGTGCCGAACCATTTTGATCGAGCGCCGAAAAACTTTGGTAAAAAACCTAAATCCGCCATGCCCAGAACTTGATAAGAACAACTGCTTAACTGAGCTTCGAATAAACCTATAGCTGATAACACAGCTCCGATTTCGACCCAAATCTTTAACCACTTCCCTGAGATCATCTCTGCCGCCACTGCCATGAACCCGGATTCCCATTCACTTTGGTCTACCGAAACAGCTCCGGTGACCGCCATGAGAGGGATTATATATGCTAAACAAGTCAAGATCACGGCGGAGAAGAGTGCTGCGGGGAAAGTCTTTTTTTGGGTTTTCGACTTCACCGGCCATTGTACTCACGGTGTCCCAGAAGTTTAAGTTCCAGAAAAGGGTATTGAAGAACAAGTTCCAGTCTTTTTTGACACCCTTTTGGCCTAAACTTAGCCACCTGTGTGGCTGGATTTGAGGGATGGCGATGAGTGACATGAGGATGAAGGGGAGAAGAGAGATGACTCCGAGGGTAATGGCGGCGATACCGACGATATTCAGACCGGTGTAGTTGACGAAAGAGAGGAAGAGGGTGGAAAACAAGATTGCTAGAGTTCGAGGTAAGCCGGAGGAGAAGATCGGAAATAGTTTTTCCATGTAGTCGATGCATAGAATCGGAAATGCTGCGATGTTGATGACACCGGTGAGAAATTTCCATGTACCCATCAAGGACCCACAGAAGGGACCGAATGCTTTATACGCCCATATGACAAAACCACCGTTGCCGGGAAAAGTGGTGGAGAGTTCGGCGGTGACAAGAGCTTCCGGGATACTCCATATGAACGGGAAGACCAGGAATCCGATGATGGCGAAGAGTGGGCCGGCCGCCTGAACTGCTGGTTCTTCGCCGTAAGGACCTCCGGCAACTTCGAAGTAGATTAAGAAGATGAGTGGGATGAGAGTGAGTTTTTTGTGGGTGGTGGCGGAGGTGGTGGTTGAAGGGTTGGTTAAGGGGAGGATTCCGGTGGAGGACGGTGGAATGTGGTCGGTGGTTGACGGCGAGGTTGGTTTTTCCGATTTGATATCATGGTCCATGATACGATAAGGCCGGAGAGAAGAAGTTTGTGGTACGAAAGTAGGAACCAAAATCTCCCGTGCCCTCACGGTTCACGTATTTAATGAAATATTAAATGACAATTTAATAATGTGAATGTTGACTTAGATGTTGTTATTGGCATGTTGGGCATATATATCATGAGCAATAAATTTAATTAGATGTATATATCTGTTTGAGAAATAATGTAACCAACTATTTCATCATTATTGGTAACAATAAGAAGAAGAAACAATCAATCGTGTTAATCAAAGTTATATAAGTTAATATTTCATCATTATTAGTAACAAGAAGAAGAAGAAGAAACAATCGTGTTGATCAAATTTATTTAGTTAGTGACGTTAACAGAAGAAGGAAACTAATTATATAAGATGCCTTGTTAGATTTCATTAAAACAGGTTTTTTTTTTTTTTTTTTTTTTTTTTTTTTTTAATAATGGTAAAGACTACCATGAGATATATATGTTTGATAAGGGGCTGTTTGATTTCTTGATGACCCGGTCTGGTCAGACATTTTGACCTACCCGGTTCGGTCTTACTCGGTCCACAATCAGTCCATGGTGCTTTGATTCGATTCGTTGGAAAAAGAGGCTGAAAAAATGGATGTCTTTTGCCGTTGCCCTTGATGCATGCTCTCCATCTCCATCTCCTTCAATCGATTTCCTTCCACCACCACCAGTTCTCATTTCAAAAGCACGCTTTCTCTTCTTCTTGCCCCTACCGACCATATCGCTCCTCTAAAAAAAACACGACGATGTCTCCTTCTTCAACGTCGAGTCCTATCACCTCCGGTCTTCTCCCCCAACGCCACCCTCCTCCAGTCCCGTCGCCATCGCCGCCATCATCCAGTCCGGTCGTCATCGCTGCCATCCTTCAGCCCCGTTGTCATCATCATTGATTGTTTAATTGTTGATTTTTGTTCGTAGCTTCTTCATCTAAAATCGAAATTTGATCAAGACTCTCTCTTGCTCCTGTTCTCGCTATCACCATCTAGCAATTAACGGTCTCACCAAGTTCGATGGTAAGCAATCATTCTTTTGTTTATGCAATTCAGTTTCTTCCACCTTCATGATTTTCTCCTTTTATTTCTCTCAGCTTTTCGGATTCATTTAAATTCACTTTGTATTTGTTTGGAGCTTTATAGTTCATGAATTTTCCCCAATTTTGAACACAGATCACGCAAGGTACTATGAAATTGAACCGTTTGTGAGTTATAATTAAACAACTCTTACCTCTGTTTTGCTATGGGTTTTGAGTTCTGATCATGCTGTTGATTCTTTCATAATACATTGATTTCGATTTCTTTCTTTATATATTAGTTTCGATGAAAATAATTGGTTATTAGAATGAAATATATAGACTCCATTATAAATATAACGTATCAACCAATTATCCTGTTAGGACGATGCTGAAGATTCTGATGGGTTTTGAGCATACTAACACTCCTAAGTGTACATGCAACCCTAGAAAACCTTGGATCTATGTTTGTCTAAAATACATGCAAAATACTTTTTCCAAGGTTCATAAACCTATCTAGCATACATGAGGAACTTTAAACATAAAAGATGGCTAGAATTACATACCTCCTAGTTGTTTTGATTCCTTGAAAACCTTGAGAGCCTAGCACCCCAAGTGTGATGCCTCAAATGTTTCACACAACACCAAATGCTTTGGAATGACTTTGAGAGAATGTAGAACACTTATAAATCGGCCTAGCCCTCTTGCAACCACTTGTGTAACCGATTTTGGTAGATCACATGTTCTTTATATAGTGTGTTACATTTAGGGTTACACCATGTAAACCCTAATGTAACATGGCTTTTCATTTCCATGACACATGGGTTTGTAACTCCCATGGAGCATCCTATGGACCTTAGTCAAACTTGATAACCCATGGAGCCTTTTAGCCCACTATACAAATTATGGATGATTTACATAATCAACCCATATATTTAATTAGTCTTCTTTTGATCACTTAATTAATTCCAAATTAATTCTTGATCAATACTAATTAAATAATACTATTAATATATTAGAACTTATAATATATTAATAAACCACAAGTGTTATTCTCTCATTTAGTCTATCCAAATGCATTGATGCCATGCAACCCAATGGACCATGCCGGGTCGGGTCAGTACATACCAGAAATAGTTATGGACTTAGACACCTTATCCAACAGTTTCCCACTTGGATAAGTCTAATAACTATAACTGCAAGTATGACTTCAGGAACCGATCAGCAATCGTAGCTCTTTTCAAGGTCTCTCGGAACTGAGAAGATGATGATACGCCATTTAAGATAAGTGATCATATAATCCTATGTTCTAGATATCAGCCGGACAAATACATGGAACAATATCTTACTTATTGTCCAGCATTTGTTTCCTCGATTTCTGATTTGTTTGACATAGAACTTATTGAACACATCAATTTAGTTCTGACCGGGCCCGGTACATAGGTCAAAACAAAATCATCGAGGGGCCCAGATATCGCTTCTAATCCAAGAAGGAACAGATAAACTTCGACTCATATGCTTGTTCTACTATTTGTAATCACACACAAACAGTACGTTTTATAACATCGAGTTACCAATGCGTTCGTACGATCAATGCATAACCAACTCATAGGCAACAAGTCATATCTCTAGGTTTGAAGACTTATATGATATTACCGTCTCGCGATCACTCGAGATAAATTCCATGAAGTGATACCAGCGAGCGTGGGTTGAATCCAATACTCAGAACTTATGAGCACTCATGAGTGTTGAGGCCATGTCCAACATCTTAGACCTCTACAACCAACTCATGACAGTCTTAATTCATATCTACTTCCAACATATGACCGACTGTGGATAATTTGAATAATATGTAAAACACAACATAAATATTCTGGAAGTCAAAACATGCAAAAAGAACTAATAGTAAACGATTGACAAAAGATAGCAACACTTTACTCATAAATAAACACAACTTTTATTCATCATCAAATGTCAATTACACTTTACAAATTTCAAGTTATCTAACTACTAAAACTAATATCATCCTTCAGCCCTATGCTCCTTGCATGCTGGAGATGCTTAACCCTACCCAGTCCCTTCGTGAGGGGATCTGCCGGGTTCTCATCCGATGATACCCTCTTTGCCACGAGGAGTCCTCTTCTATTCGATGTCTGATGAAATGGTATTTTCTGTCAATGTGTCTGGATCTCCCGTGATCCCTTGGTTCCTTTGCTAAGGCAACTGCACTTTCACTATCACAGAAAATTTCCATAGGCTCCTTTATAGCTGGTACAACTCCAAGGTCTCCAATGAAGTTCTTCAGCCATATTGCCTCCTTTGCTGCCTCGCTTGCGCTATATACTCTGATTCGCAAGTTGAATCAGCCACTGTCTCCTGCTTGGAACTTTTCCAAGTAATTGCTCCTCCGTTTAAGGTAAAGACCCAGCCCGACTGAGAGCGGAAATTATCCCTATCAGTCTGGAAGCTAGCATCACTATACCCTACAACTCTCAAGTCATCACTCCCACCAAGGGTAAGGACCCAGTCCTTAGTCCTCCGCAGGTACTTGAGGATGTTCTTTACCGCAGTCCAGTGAGCCTTACCAGGGTTCCCCTGATATCTGCTGACCATGCTCAATGCAAAGGCCACATCAGGACGAGTACACGTCATAGCATACATGATCGAGCCTACAGCAGAAGCATAAGGTACTCGACTCATTTCTGCTATCTCAGCCTCGGTACTCGGGCTCTGAGTCTTACTCAATCTGGCGTTACTCTGGATGGGTAACTCTCCTTTCTTGGAATCTTGCATGCTGAACCTCTTCAGCACCTTATCCAAGTATGTACTCTGACTAAGTCCAATTAGTCTTTTACTCCGGTCTCTCAGAATCCTTATCCCTAGAATATAGGCAGCTTCTCCTAGGTCTTTCATAGCGAAACACTTCCCAAGCCAGGACTTCACTTCCTGCAAGGTTGGGATGTCATTTCCTATGAGTAGTATGTCATCCACATACAATACCAAAAAGCTAACTATACTCCCACTAGCCTTGACATATACACAAGATTCATCTTCACTCCTCGAAAAGCCAAACTCTTTGACTTTCTCATCGAAGCAAAGATTCCATCTGCGAGGTGCTTGCTTTAATCCATAAATGGATTTCTCAAGCTTACACACTCTATTAGGGTATTCTGTACTGACAAAACCCTCTGGCTGACTCATGTAAACATCCTCAGCCAACTTTCCATTAAGGAAAGCGGTTTTGACATCCATTTGCCATATTTCATAGTCATGAAATGCAGCAATGGCTAACAATACCCTAATAGACTTAATCTTGGCTACTGGTGAAAAGGTCTCATCATAATCAACTCCTGGAGTTTGAGAAAAGCCTTTGCAACCAGTCGCGCCTTATAAGTGTGTACATTACCATCCATGTCGGTCTTCTTCTTGAAGATCCATTTGCACCCAACTGTCTTACGACCTGGTACATTGTCAACCAAGTCCCAAACTGATTGTCATACATGGACTGTATCTCGCTGTCCATTGCCTCTTTCCATTTAGCAGACTCGGGGCCTGCCATGGCTTCCGCATAGCTGTTAGGTTCATCCAGACTTACCAGTGTCTCATCACTGATAAGTGTCTCACCTTCCGCAGTAAATGGAAACCATAGTAATGCTCAGGTGCATTCCTAACTCTTGTGGAACGCCTCAGAGGTACAGACTCGTCAATTGGATCAACAGGAGTTTCCTCCTCAAGTTGACTGCTAGGGTTTGAGGTTCCTTCACCACTTGACTCTTGAATTTCTTCAAGGTCAATTTGCCTCCCACTGTTTCCTTGGCTTATGAACTCTCTCTCTCGAAAGACACCCTCCTTGCTACAAAGACCACATTCTCACTAGGTCTGTAGAAGAGGTAACCAAAGGATTTTTGTGGGTAGCCGATGATGAAATACACCTCTCACTTCGAGGTTCGAGCTTATCGTGAGTC